TGCACGTTTGTTGTGCGCTGTGTCCAGGGGAGCTCTAGTTGAAAGGGAATGCCCTCACTCTCCACAGACTGACTAAGGATTCTCTTTGCCTCGCCGAGAGCGGCCTGCGCGTCGGCGCCCCGGTCCGTGCACGGCGCACACAAGCACGGGCTCATTTAATATCTACCTCTTATGCATCTCCTTCCCCTCGCATCCATCCTCCCAAGCTCAGCCGTGCACTCTTGAACCTTTTTTTACTTTGAGCTTGTGTGAGTTCAGTTGGTTTTGAGGACAGAGGAGGCTTTATCTACAGTATGTAGACACAAAGTACCTCTAGAAGTCTGAGGCCAACACAGAGGAGCAACTCAAAAGGCAGTAGGAGTGGGATGAGGAGATGTGGAATCTCACTTGGTGATTAAAACAGCGTTGCTTTGGCTGTAACGTTTTTAGAGAGGCGTTATCAGACGTTTACTTCACGGTCAGGGGTCAGAATCCCGATTGTAATCTCAGGTCTGCAGCAGGAATTTAAACAGCTGCTTAAAAGAATTAGCTTTCTTTAAGTTTATGAGGAAAACTTTGAATGAAATCTGGATGGAAATTGAATTATTCTGCTCTCTGGACCGACATTTGGATTGTTAAATTCGAAATGTGTCCTTCCCTTGGCGGCACTTTCAAAATCTTCAAAAACCTGACAGCTCCTTTTGTTTCTCTCAGCACACACAAACGTAATCTCTCTGAGTGGCGTTTTTCCTTTGCATTTTATTCCAGTTATATATCACAGCATTCATCTGGTTTCAAAGCATATTTAGGATGAATGTTGGGCATGAATTTGGAAGATAAACTTTAATCAAATCACAAAACATGTCTACTGTCTGTCCCTAATGTGCAGCTTGGACAGAGATAAAAAGAAGGCTTTCATGTTTCCTGCCCCAGCCACTTGAGATAGCCTGAAAATGGGATTTAAATGGATTAATCTGATGCTTTTGGCAGGTATAACATAATTTTCTATCATAAATGAGTCATTTGTTAATGATCCGTGCCCTCATTAAGCTTTATTTAGTAATTGTTTTCTATTTTTAAAACCTGAAAGAGTCAGTTTGTTCTGCTTTGTGTGTAACTTTTCTCCTTCTTGCCGTTCATCAAGCAAAACTGAAAAATGTCCCATACGGAAAAACACACGTGAGGTTTTCCGTCGGATCCTTTTCGGAGGCCTTTCATAAGAGCGCGGCGTGTTTACAGCTCCCCTGTCAGAGCGGGTTTGTGCGGCTTTTTGCTCCACATGCGGAACTGCACTGTCAGGAACTTGTTGGTTGTTAAGCGCTCACACATGTGGGAAATGGAGACGGGAGTATGGTAATGGCGCCGCGATGAGAAAACGTGCGCATGTGTCCCTCAGGTGAAAACAGGGGAACATGGAATCAAATCTGAGCCAACATCCTGAGATTGTTCCTGTTGATAAATTGATATCATTAAATATAAATGCTTAGTTTTACATTCCTGGTGCCGCGGGCTCGGAGCGTCGAACAGGAATGCTTTGAATCCAAGGCTGGAAATTTCCCCTAAATCATCAAATCTGACAACAAAGGAAAACTCAAATAGACTGCCTTAATGAGTTAAACACACACACACACACTTGTTCTTGATCTAATGAGTCTTTCAAACGCGTTCCTTATCCATCTGTCTCTTCCCGACACACACAACACACTCACACACACACTTTTTGTGTGATCAATCCACATCAAACACCAACTCATTTAAATATTCATATAAGGTGTTAGAAGATGGTTGGTTGGTCTCTCCTTCTTTCTCCATGTTTCTTTTTCTCTCTCCAGGTATATTAATAATTCCCCCTGTCTATCCACCACACAGAGTTGGAGGTTTTTCCCTTCAGACAAAGTTTCTAGAAGTTACTATAAATTAATAAGAGTGTGTTCTCTGTGAAGCCGGCAGCTTTGAACCCAGCGTATTGATCTTGCAGGTGAGTTGGCTGTGCCGGATCACAACTTCAAACAGAATCCAGTGTTCCTGTGGAGAGGCCGGCCCAGCCCCGAACAATACCCACATTACCCCTCTATATGACCAGTCCAATCTGAGAGGTGTAGGGTGGGGATGGTGGGGGTGGGGGGGGACATTGAGGAAGCGTTGACACTTGATTACGATGGCTGAGTTGGGATTTGGATCAAAATGTTTTGTAGGAGAGAAGTGGGAAGTCAGATCATGTGGATATTGGATTTGATGGAGATATTGAATTAATCACCGAGAAAAGGCCGATTCTGACACTGGATGTGGTCTTAAACCTGATAGATATCGCACAATTTGGACTATTATGAATGAAAATGAGGTTGGTGAACACGACTGTTGGACGGATGCCATGAGAATGACTCCATGAACCGTTAAGCTGTTGTCTTTTCTGACTTTGGTCATCTTGGTAAACAGCGACAGCTTTTTCGTAACTGGTTTTGTCAGACTTTTTTCCTGAAAAAAGGCAGAGTTCTCCAGTCGGGAGCTAGTTTTTTTGTTCACGAATCCTCTTCATCAAATGCCAACATAAGAAAACAGAACTTAAATCTAAGGCATAATGTGTCAATAACCAAGGTTAGATATTTGTTTAAAATCTATTCATTCAACCGAAAAGTTTGTGAAAACTAGACAAAATCAGTCTAATGGTTTGGGTGTAATCAGACAGACAAAGTTTGTAAAATAGAATAAAAACAACTCTGCTTTTTTCTGTTGTAAGAGACAATCACATTAAGTTTATAATAATTTACTGTAGGACAACAAAAACACCCCAAAATGACTAAAGGTGTAGGCCTTTGCGACCTTTGTTACATTTCATACCAAACACTAAAGCTTGAGCTTGACCTTTTTTTGTTTGCACGATTTTGAAATCATGTAATTCTGTTAGACTTCTAGGATTACCATTTTGTTTGGGATGCTTGTCTTTCAGGGCCGAAATGCATTCTCATTTTACCTTGAAAAAATCATACCAATGAACATCTGAATACAACAATACAGTCTGAAGTAAAGGAGCTGTTGATAGAATTATTTCATCCAACGTTTGGAATATGTGCAAAACGTACCAGCTCCAGGCTCATTAATCCACATCCACGAAAACTCAAAATTAATGTTATGTTATGCTTTTTCGTGTCCTGTAGGTCCGTCTGTGTGATACAGAGCGTGGATGAGTCAGGGAGAGAGCGTAAGTACTGATTAGCGATTAGCAGGTCTTGATGCTGACGGCAGAGCTGATCAGTATTTCCTCTGTGTCAGAGCTTTAGGGAACAAATCCCGACATTAACCCGGCTCTCATCTGCCTGCCGGAGCGCTGGCAGCAGCCCGCCAGCCATAGGCCCAACATCCAGCTACAACCACCAGCTAAGGCATGCCAATCCTCCCTCAGACGGTGGCTCATTGTTGTCTCCTTCCGAATCAAAACCGCACTTGATCATTAAAGAGACGCTAATGCTGCTCTCAGCATCAAAGTTGATGGGCTGTGACATGCAATGCTTAATAAGAAGTCAGGAGTTTGTCACAATCCACTTGACAAAAAATGACGTTTTAGTCGCACCCCTTGAGGGAGAAGTCTGTGGATTCCTATTGTTCCGTTGAAAGAAATTAAGTGAGGAAGCAATAAATGGATCAAAATGTGTCTTTTAAGAGCTGACATGTGCCTCATAAGACACTGGAGGAATACTGACACCTAACTGTTTAGCTTTTGGTAATGATTTATACATTGAGGAGAGACAGTGCATCTCTTAATGTCAGAGCTGAGACCAAAGATCACCCCAACGGGCCAACAGGAAGCCAGGAACTCCAGGGCCATTGTAGTTTCCTTCTGATAAAGGTCAGCTCATTAGCGGTTGTCTGCAGGGTCAGTGTTCTTACAGACGTGAAAGAGATCTGCTCAGAGAAATCCCACCGGTGGAGGATTGTTCTACAAAGTTTGAACAGGTTCTTTGGCTGGTTAGAGATCAACAGCTTGATCCTCATGAGCGAAATTATGCGGGCTGCTCAGGTAAGTGGCAAAATTACTTTTTGACCTGAGTCTGGGTTTAATGAAATTCATAAAAAATGACTGATGTTCTCAGATGAGACAGGATATTTAAGTTTTTCCAGAATTATGTGAACAAAAAAGATATTTTAAGGAAAAACATATCCACGCACACACAGGCATGCATAAATATTTCTATAAATATATCTATATCTATTTATACATCTATGTTTATACATGTATATTATTCATTTATATTACTCTTATTATTTTTTATGAGAAACTGGATAAAAAGTAGGACAAAATTGGACAACATGCTGGAAACAAATAGACATCAAATCCAGTTACATTTCTTTAGTCTCACATTGATGAACTCACTGTAAAAACTGGACTGATGGCTTTATCTTGAAGTGTTTCTGTTTTTATGGTACGTTTTGGCAAAAAAGTGACTGCACACATAACCATCCTGACACCAGTTAGAATCTCTGCGTGATAAAATCCAGGAAGCTCTCAGTGTTGTGTGTCCAATAAGCTGCTCTTATTGGTTGACCTCATTTGCCTGTGTTGTTAACCTCCTGTTGGAGGCCTGAGCCTGCTCCGTGCCACGCATCGCACGTTTTCCAGTGTTCCATCCCAACTTATTAGGCGGTGAGTGATTTTCAGGCTTGCGCGCGCTTTGACGGCTGGAGGGCAGAAGACATGTGTCAATCATCACTCGAGGCTCCGCCCACCGCGTCCAAACCAGGCCGAGCCAGCTGAGCTGCTGTCAGGTGCTCATCTCTCAGTCTTTTTCATGTTTGCCTTTTTTCTGTTTGTGAGCTTGAACACAAGAAGAACACACTCACACACACACACACATACACACCAGTGAGGTTTCTTCGTCTAAATCTAAAAGCTGCTGCGTTCGTTTGATTTCTTTTTTCTCTCTCTCTCTCTCTCTTTTTGGTGTTTCTGTGTGGACGCGTACACAAGTGTGTGCTCCGAAACCTACACACAGAAATGGACACCGATCCCTCCACCGAGCCCTGTGTTGTCGGCCGGGAGGGCAACATCAAAGGGGCCTGGCTGTGGGCATGAGGAGCCGGGAGACGGGAGTGGAGATAGCTGGGAAGCCAAGTGGCCACGGGTGGGTCTTGAGAACAAGGTGGGCCCCGAGAACAAGGTGAGCCCGGGGAGCGATGGGTGGTATGCTGCAGAGGGAAGTATAGATTGGAAAGAGGAGTCCGACAGCAAGCCTGGTGAGCGTGGAGGGTCTGAGGAGCCGGGCGGGGATCCATTAAAAGAGGCTGAATGTGGTCCTGGTGATGGAGGTTTTCCCCCGAGACCAAGACTGAAGTGAAAAACAAGAATTAAAAAGCTACGTGTGGGGAAACAGGCAGAGGAGATGGAGGCCCGGTGGTGGCTTTATCGGAAAACTCTGCATATGTTTGACTAATTCTCTTATATACAGCTGATGATCTTACTGGAAAAGTCAATGCCCAATTCTCTTCCACACAGAGAGCCAACTTTCCGGGCCTTCCAACACAAATTTCCGCGATTCTGAGGTGTCTGCGTGCTATTGGCTGCGAGCAGGGAGGAGAGGAGGGCCTGCAGCCGGCGGTGGGAGGCGAGCAGCGTGGCAGGGGGGGAGGGGAGGCGGGGGGGGAGCCGGGCAGGAGAACACAGGACTGCCGCTGTTGCCTCTGAGGCAGGGATTGGCTTCGCGCTCTCATCTCCCCGTCAGAGCCCTCCTCTGAGACGTCAGTCAAAATGATGGACGGCTGCGAGGTTGGAAGGGAACCGGCTCAGTCGAGCGTTGTCAGTTCTCTCCATGCCGCCCGTAACCGTGACTCCCACCACTGTATACACGGATGCGTAACATGCGTGTCATTCTTGTTAAAAGATGTTGTTGTTTTTTTTGCTTGCATTGGCCTGACAGCCATCTACGGCAATGCCTTCCGACGTGGGCCTGGTGGATTCAAGAGGCGTCAGTTTAAAGTTGAGAAATGACTCATTTGCAACACTTTATGGGATGATAATTCGTTACAGGTCTCTTAGAGCATCCCCAGTTCTTACATCATGTTAAAAAGATGTACAGATGCTACATGCTGCAAGTTGCCTGTTTGCAAGTTATATATGCTCAACTTTGAAAAAGTCCCATACAACACCTTGCAAAACAAAAAAAGTGTTCAGCTTGTTTTATTTTATGTGTTTTATCCTAGTCTGGATTTAGCTAAGATTCCAACTTGTTTGGCAAGAATAAGTATATATTAGCACTTTTTCTTTAAACAGCCTATAACTTCATAGATTCCAGTGGCCAGCCTGCCTGTAGTACATTAGGGATAAACATAAAAAAGTACATGTTAAGGTACTAATGTTAGTTCAAAAGAAGATCAGATTGGATAGGAATGAATGCTTGTGCAGTACTACATACTAATTACACATTCATATGAACTGATTCTTATTTATCTAACCAATTTGAACGGTTCATTTGATAGATGTCTAAAAGAGTTGTGGCAATGCTTTTCTTATTGTGTCTATACTAATACAGCTGACAAAGTTGAAATGTATTATAATTTGGCAATGCTTAACAATGATAGTAGTAATGAGGAGATAAGGAAACACAGGGTTTATTTGACTGTCATCAGTAACTAGTTTCTGCTGCTTTTCAGGCATAAACATCGTGTTCTTTTACATGGATGGAACAGCTTTGGTGCATGAGCTGTCACACAACGAACAAAACAAGACTAAACAATGCGAGGGACCTAAACAGGCAAGAGGGAGGCTCAGACATATTATCAGTGACAGGAAGAGCCGGGAGAGACGCGGATGAAAGCGAGTAACACAACACTGCAGATGAGGCAGACTTACAGCAGGCACTGTTCGGTGGCTCAGAAATGTGAAGACGTTCAGTATGTGTTGCTTAAACAAACACATTTGTGGACACGTTTTGCGTGTTTTTTCAGTCACAAAAGTAATGCGAGTGAAAATGAATTTATTCCAACTCATCCTTCTGAGAAGGAGTCCGCAGATATGGTGGAAAAAGCTCTTGCTTCTGCTTGTCAAAAGTGAAACTCAGAAACTTCTCTTGTGTGTTTTTTAAATGTCAAACCAGTTAAACGTTTAGCAATAACCAGTGGCACAACAATGCCTGTGTAAACGCTTAATTATATAACTTTTATCACAATGTCATTGTTGTCTTTTCTGCGCGTTTTGAAATGATTCACACTTTCTGAGTTCATAATCAGGTTTTTTCTTTGTTTACCATCTGTTCAGCAATGACTCAACTAACGATACAGCAATTACCGGGCGGGGAATGCGTGTGTGTGTGTGCAGTATCAGGAATCTAATGAGGGCAGACAAAAGAAGTCTGTAGCTCAGAGCCAATTGGACAGAGAGACGCAGCGCATCAGAGGCAGGGAGCTTGAGAGGGGAGTGAAATAGTTGGGGGTTAGGGAGGGTTCAGGCTGGTGGCAGTCAGTGCCTCAGGCAGGGTTTTGGGGTCAGGCCCCCCCAGACAGCCACACCAGCCCCTAAGGCCCCAAGAGGGGGGACACCAGGACCAGGCTGGCCAAAGGAGGGGCACTCAATTAGGGCAGTATTCAAGATTTTTGCCAGGCGCTTCAGAAGTGAGGGGCCACCTGATACCAGCACACCTCAAACGTCCTCCTCCAGCTCAACCCCGCTGATTGTACTTACTGCTGATTAGCTTTAAGAGTACCAAAGCGTGACAAGGACACCTGTACTTAATGTTACTTAATATTCTGTCGAACACTTCTGTCTTGAGTTCATCTGAAAAAAAACCTTAACAAAGCGCATGCTGTTAAGATGTGAATATTAAACTAAGCTCATTGTTTTATATTGGAATAACTGCGAGGAAATAAATAATAAGCTGGATTCAGCTGGCATTTCTTATAGATCTGTCAATGAGTCAAGTTCCAGGTTATGTGATGCCCACCCTTACATGAAAAATGGGATTTCTGGGAAATTTAAATATGAATAAAACAATAAAAGGTTTTCATTCGAAAAAGCTTGTAACAGTTGACCTCAAATATAATTCTTGATATTTATTTTTAAACATGAATCCTTTGTATGAATCTTTATAAAAATTTAGACAGTTCCATAATGAGTCTGAACCCCTTCAGGTTTTTGACATTTGAGCTTTATAGTTTAGTAATAGCAGGAACTGTTTTTTCTGGTACTGCTGCCTGACTGTGAAATAAACTAACTATGAACAAGATACAAATAAAAATGGCCACAAACATTGTAACTGTGAGACGGAGCCGAGTAGAGGAGCATAAAAACTGAAAAGGAGCTACTAAGGATGTGCAGCTGTGGACGATTCGGTCGGAGACAGCCGCTCAAACCCAGGACTCAGATTGATTTCAACAGTGGACTGAATGCACAGCACAGAGCACAGAAGGATGTACAGAGAAAACACCAGGAACCAGAAGGACAAGCATATAAAAAAATATCACTCGTGAGAGTAACTAGACAAATTCAGACGGAGCAATTGGACAAAATTTAAACAACTCAAGGAAAGGGAACGCTGCATTGAAAGTTAGGAAACTCATCTTATGTGACGTGCTGGTAGCATCTTGGTTTGTGGCTGCTTTTGCCAAGACTGTTTGCCATGATTAGTGGAACAATGAACTCTGACATACCCGAGCGAAATCTGAAGGAAAATGTCAGGACTGTGAATCCCCGGGGAGCAGGAGAGTTGCAGCGAGAACCACAAGCCCCAGCATACAAATGCCTCTGCCGAGGAAAGGTTAAAGATGAATAAAGTTAAAGTTTCGAGACAGAAAGTTCAAGTTCTGGACTCAATTCATGAGAAATGCGGCAAAAGAAAACAGACAGAGCCTCTTCCGGGCCCAAAACAGTTGTGTTTGGAGGAATGGGCTCTATTATAGGACTGATCAGCAGTCAACACAAAATGTTTGTAGAATTTCTCAAGAAAAGGTACGTCTTCTGGGTTTAAGCGTCAAGCCAACATTTGTAATTGTGCCACGACTAATGTAAGAGAGGATGGATGGAAATCAGAATTCATGAGGAAGAGGGAGGTTTGGATTAAACTGATGTAGCAGTGTTGTATTTTCTCCGGCCGGTGTGTGGTCTCCGAGGTGTGCCGCTGTGTGCGCTCGTGTGTGTTGCCGAACGCTTTCGCACAGTTGCATAATTAGCCGTAGCATTAGCATGCCTGACGTCTCAGCTGCTGCTGCACAATGCTCTGAGGGAGAGGCCTGTTGGAAATCCTTCTAGAAATGATCAATCTCTCTCTCACACACAGACGCGAGTTTGTTCTCCAGCTTTGTGCGCCGGTGCGGCGACTCATGCGTCGCCACAAAATGCATTTAATTGCCAGGGAGCAAAAATATAATCTCCCCACTGGTCTTTCACCGTGAACTTTATCGTCTTTCTCTTTATTCTGTCAGATATGCGAATACATGGTTTGGGGGGTTGGTGGATCCAGGCATTCCTTGCTGATTTCCCAGTGTCGAGCTGTTGGTTTCGCTGTTGCGGGAGATTCTGTGTAATTAATTGGTTCTTCTGGGGGTCAACTGGTTTTATCTCATTTCAGTCACCTTGTACATCAAGCGGCCATGTCTGCACCTGTTTCCTGCTCTCAGCAGCTGCCAACTGGGCCTCCCAAACGACTATTGATCCCATCAGATCACGCACGTTTTTTCGCACGCACACACACACATTTGGAAATGCTTTATTTGTATTTGTAAATTACGTTTGCCCGCGCCAGCCTTGAATATTAGAGAAGCTCCTTCTCGATTTGTTTTTCACCTGGTGGCTGCTCCATCTGCTCTGAGCTTCCTGAGGAAAGGACAAAACTCCCATTTGAATGAGGATATTTATGATTTACATAAAAGAACATTAAAGAAATGAAAGAATAAATTAATGTTTTATAGAAATACTACATCGTGCCTCTTGATGTAAGAAGTGGAATTCAGGCTTCTGCTGTACCTGCTCAGTCTTCTGCTTGAATTTCAATGATAATTTCATTATAAATGCATTGAAAAACCTGGATTCCCTCAAACGAGGGTTACATAGAAAGAATTGATTGATGCTCCCATAGCTGACCTCTCATAATCATGCCAATAAGATTTTAATAAGGCATGTAGGTAGTGGTGTTAAAAACAAAGGCTTTTTCGGGGAGGAATTTTTTCCTTATGAAAAATTATATTGCAGCCAAAGTAATTTAAAAAAGGGTGTTACATGACTTGATTTTAAATTATTATGACTTGAAAAGAGACATAATTGTTCTTTTTTTGGATTGAACATTTGGATTGAACAAGATTTAACACATGTGGTCAAGTTCAACACAGGACAATGTCCCACCTCAACACAAGAACTGAACAATAGGGGGGCTGCACAGGGGTCAGTGGTCCTCTCTGAAAAGAAGCTTTTGTTGACCCTTCACAAAGGCTCTAACACAAAGGGCCGGAGGTTAAGAGAGAGACCGCTTCCGACCCGCTTCCAGCTGCCAGAATGAGAGAGTTGACGGAAATTCCTTCAGAGAGATGAATAGATCTGTGTATTCATTCAATTTGATTTATAAAAACACCTGTAAAATAAAATTGTTTGTTTAGTTTTACTTAAATAAAACTAATACTTTGACAAAAGTTTGTATTTTTTAACAATATACTCTTAGGTTAGGCTTTATGGTACCAAAACTACAGTGATACCAGGCAAACTGAGAAGAATAACATCACCAATGGAAACGGAAAAAGTTATATCTGTACTCTGGACTTTGGACCAGCATGGATTCCTGAACGGTTTATTTTCCAGGCCTGTTTTCCAGCCACTGCCTCGTGCTTCAGACTGGTCTGTGCACCTGTGGCTCATCCACTCATCAGGGTCCTGCAGCACATGGCTTTGGTCCCAGGTCTTACGGTCCATGCTGGTCTTATGCTGTATCTTTCATTTTGGCAGAACCACTTGTATATTTACATGAATTTAGTCATTTTGTGTCTTCCAAACTGCGCCAGCCTTGATTTGTCTTTCTTTTTGTGTTATCCACAGTAAAGCTTCCAGTCTGTCAAGCTCTGCAAAGTTCCTTTGAGTTATTATTTCTTAGTCCCGCTGTTTGATCAGACTGCTTTTTTGGGGAAGCACCGCTTCGACAAAGTGCCCTGCAAAGGTCCTGTAAGTTTTGGGAGCAAAGCATGCCGGGATGCCATGTAAGTGTCGCAGGAGAAGCTTTTAAACTAGAGATTGTCAGGACTTACTCACACAAACATGCCGGCATGGAAAAACAGCGCGACGCATTTTAAAGCTCATCTGCAAACTGATTCTGTCAGGGAGACTTAGTGACGTGCGGCTGCCTCCTACAGCTTTCCTCCATAACGGCGGCAGTAAGCAACGGTGTTGTGCCGTCCACTTGGGAAAAGGAGAGGCGGCAGGCTCTAAATAGAGCCCGCGTCCGTTAAATATTAACACCCTCCTTCCTCTGACAGAGAACAGCCCACCACGTCGCCTTCCATCTCCACCACCAGGGAGATGCAACACAGCATAGCACTCAAGCACACAGGGAAACACATGGACACAACACAGGAGTCTGGACAAAAACACATCCTCAGAATGAAGTTATGCACGCGCTCCAGATTACTGATGCTGCCTCCAAACATTCGAGGTAACTTTTTTTAACTTTTTGAGGTAACTTAATCCGAGCAGCCTCCAAACGCAAACTTTTTCAACTTTTATTTGTGAATTTAGGATTTTTTCTCAGCACGAGTAAGAGACGTCCTCATCCGAAAAGCAAAGGGGACTGTCACAGGTTAGGAGGAGGCTTGTTTTCAGTAACATTTCACACACCTGAACAGGTTTGGTCTCATGTGTTTGTGACAGAGAGTGTTATCTCATTACTTTAGAGACGATGGAGGAAAGGAGAATTGATTCATCCAACAAGGCAAACAAAAAAGATTCTGTGCACAGAATGCTTATTGAATGTTTCATCCTTTAAATATAATTAAGATCCTCACCAACTGGTGTAGAAATATACAAAAACACTTTGTCAAGAACTGAATGTGTGTAATAAATTGTTAGTTTCAATAAGATTTCCAGAAACTTTCACATTATAAAAGACCAACTGAGGGAGTAAATCTAACATTCAACACAAAGCAGCTATTAGATCAATTCAAGCAAGTGGATTTAGATTAAAAAGAAGTGATTCAAACCTCTAGCTGTAGCATTCTTTGTTGCACAGAAGATTCAACATGAGTCATATTTATGGCCTTGAAAAGGGACCAAAAACAGTTCTGATAAATCTAGTCAACAACTCAGAGGCTCCAGTTAGTTAGTTTCTGAAAGGAATTGATGTCCCAACATGAGTTACATTTCACAAGATCTTATGCAACTGTGTTGCTGTCTTTGTGGTAGTTCCTGCTATTGAAGCTGCAAGACCACATTTCTCCGACATATCATTAAATGGGCATAAAACCCTTAAGAATTCTTGGCAGATTAAGCTATATTTCTAAATTGGAAAAGCTTTGTTTTCAAAATGTTCCCACCATAAAAAAAAAACTGACACAACCTGTTGAATTAATACAACCTGTTTGTCTTTATGAATGGTGGAAACTATCCGCAAACTCACAAACACAAGCACAGGCTTTCTGCAAGTTATAGATTTGGCAGAGGTGTTATGCCGGCATGTTTAATTCATAACTGTTTTCCTTCTTTCTGATCAGAAACATGAAAGAGAGAGTTTTGCCTGGAGAAATAACAAAATGGCTGAAATCATCAATACGCTGACAACGCTCGTCTGCCTATTCGGGGATTGAGGTGCACAGAGAAGAAAAAAAACCCGTCAGACTTCATAAGGACATCTCATTTTAGCATCAGTCCGTGCAGTATTGTTGTGTTTGAGTGGCTTTGCTCGTGATTGTGTTAGGTTTGTGTTCTGCCTGCAGGAGAAACCACGCTCAATGAAAAGGTTCATGCAAAAGACGGTAAAACAGACCAGAGCCCGTACAAAGTAAGCCTGCCACATAATTCATCTGTTTTGCCCCACAGCAGCCCAGAAAAGAAATGTTTTATTGCCACAATGAATTTACAGGTTACATTCTGAGCCGTTTTTTTAAAGTCACAATCGCTTTTATGCAGCAGAGGTGCGTTTGGTGGGATTGTTTTTGTATTGATTTTAGATAAAAGATTGAAAAATTCCATTTCAAGAGGTATTTATTGCGTAGTTAACGCCAGACTGTTTGATATATATATATATATATATATATATATATATATACACAGTATAAATATATTCTTTTTTCTCTTCCTTTTTTTTTTCTTTTTCCTATCCATGAAAGCCCTTTGTGTAAGAGCCTTTGTTTGAATTATAAGTAATTCAAACCTCCAGGAGCTAAAATGTTCTGATGTTTCACAACTACTACATATAAAATATTCAGATTAAATAATGGCATTGTACAAATAAACACTAAATTAGTGGAAATTAATCCAAAACTTCATTACTTCAACAGGGTCAGCAGAAAATGATTAATTACATTAGACAGAGTGTTTTTACACATCTGGTTCTTGGTATTTTTGCCTTATTGACCACATTGACTGCATCAGGGGAATTTAGGTTAACAGCGAGGGTGATCCCTGCAGTTATATTGGGACCAGCCAACATAGAGAAAACCACCCTCTGTTTAGATAACGGCAAGGGAAAAGTCCCTCTTCAGATCATCAGCCTACTCCTCTCTCTAACAGATGAATTTCTCTTATCCTGGCCACGCCAAAGTGTGAACTTCTGGGCTGTTACATCTCGCTGCTAGCTTGCGTCTCCGGCCAGCATCGGCCTCCATTTGTGTCTGGCTCTGATAGTGAAGACATTAAAAGTTAATCAGAGATGCACCGTTGCAGCAGAGTGGGGAAGAATTGCCTCTGTCAGTGGCTCGGGGCACAGGAAATCATACCACCGAGAGAGAGGGAGGGAGGGAGAGAGAGAGAGAAAGGCGATGGTGATAGAGTGATAGAGACAGAAAAACACAATGAAGCCGACAGGCTGAGAGAGAGGGAGAGAGAGAGTTTCTCATACTAATGAACCATCACTTCCATGTCTCAGCCGATGCCCTCCGAATCCCAACATCTGTCCCACCAAACCAAGCCTCATTATGACACCCCTCAGCTAACCCCAAAAACACCACCACACACACACACACACTCGCGGGTGCACTCACACTCCTGGTCGCATCCCCGGCGAAGGGCTGGGATGGTGGGAAAGTCTGCCCCGCTGTAGTTGTCACATCACATCTACCGCGCCACGGCCAAGGGTGTGTGTGTGTGTGTGTGTGTGTGTGTGCGCTTGTCTGTGTTTGAGGGATGTGGGTATGTGGGTGGAGGTGGTGGCGGCGGATGGGGGAGGGGGGTGGGGGGGTGGGGGGGGGTTCTAGGTCTGGGGCTGTGCCTGAGGGCCTCGCTCGCGCTACAAAAGACTCCACTCAACTCCGGTTAGTCGCCCTCACTAGCATATCAGCACTGACGGACTGCACACATATAAATACGCACACACACACACACACACACACGCTCTCACACACACGGGCGTCACACTCCGGCTCACTCCGCCGGCTCCCAAAAACCAGCTCTCCCACCAGACAAACAGAGAGCCCCCCGACGGCGGCGTGTGAAACCGCCCAGCTCTGTCCGCCTTGCTCATGGGCACACGGGCAGCAGGCCCGGCGTGCTATCACTCTCTGGCTGCGGGTGACAGGTTGGCCGGGGACTAATGCGGCGCGACGGAAGTGAACGTGGCCCGGAGCGAAGCAGCTGCCTGCAGCCAGGCCTCATCTGAGCTGTCAGTGGAGAGGCAGAGCTGGGGATCCGCACACACACACACACACACACACACACACACACACACACACACACAC